CTTTTTAACATGACCATCAGCTTACAATTTGGAACACTGTGTTTCATTAGGTCCCTGAAAAGTTCTCCCTCCGCCCCTTCTGAGGTATACAATATTCAAGTATTAACCAGCATACAGAGAAAGAAACACAGAGTTAAGTATTTAATGTGGAAATTAGGGAACTTGAGCCCTACTTCCAGCCTCCCTGAATCTTTAGCTCTCTATATAAAAGCATATAACACTAACAGAAGAGGGAGAGCGTCCTACCCTACAATACCTCAAGGGTGTGTAAGTCAGTATATTTTTGGATTATTTTTCTGAAAGACACCAGGTCCAAATCCAGTAAGGCGGCAAAAGGAAATAAATTTCTCTCCCCCAAATTTCAATTCTTGTTTCATCTGACAAAAGAAGTCTCAATCAATACTACCATCAGTTTTAGGAATGAAACCCTGGATATCTTCTCCTTTCCTCAACTCCCCCAAAACCCACTGTAAGAACTTGTACAATGGTCTTTTCTTACTTTACTGAACAGCACAGGCAGCCATTTCTGAGCTCCAGCCATTCTTCATAGAGTTCTCCCCCTTGACTGATTGCCAGTGATTTCTCCAAGGCACTTCCTGGAAATGTAAGTAGTACTGTAATTTTAATCTACAAATTTGCATGACAATGCCTGCAAAAGACATATGAAATATTCAAGTTGGTATACATTTTTACTCCCGGATTATATTTTTTTCTTCTGAGACTATGTTTCTGACATGTTCTTTAGAAATTAGTATTTTCCATTTTAGGAGAAATTTGAAAGCTAAAGTCAAGTCAGTTCTACAAAGACCAAAACCCAGAGGATGAAAATACAGCACAAGTGCCACAAACTTTGCTAAAAGAAAGTGAAGTCAGCCTCCACCTTCACATCAAATAATGGCTCTGTCTATACATTTTATTTTAGGCTCCATGACCAGAAAAGTGGCATGCATCTTTGTTGATGAAAACAAACAAACAAACAAAAAAACCACCACCAGTGCAAACTGTAAGCAACGCTGACTATGGTACGGATATGAAATTATAGCCGTAACAGTTAAAAATCCTAAGAAGGAAAGCAAAGAGTTCAAAGAACCACAGGCACCAAGCACGCATCTCCCCATTTTCTTGGTCTAGGATAATTTGTGATCTGTAAATGGCTGAAGGGAAAGGAAAGAAGAGAAAATATTATTTACCAACACGTTATTTTAATTTCCATTTGCTTGAAACTGAGCAGGATAAATAGACGTATAGCACTTCCAACAGGGTGATATATTCATTTACTTGACTCTGAGAGACTGAATTTATATACAGAACAGATTAATGCATAGCATTATTTTATGAACACCAGCCAAAAGACTTTTTGTCCTTCTGGAGACTACAAGATATGTCAATAATTTCAGTAATGGATTTAAAACTACAACGTTCTTGATTTCCAGAAGTCTTACATATTTGTCATTTTAAGGTTAAAAAAAATGTTTCTGTAGGTTTACATACCTTCTCCAAACTCATTCAGAATAACTGCTATTCTTTTACTATGCTGTTCTGTCAGTATGTAATTTAGAAGAGTTGTTTTCCCAGCTCCTAGAACACAGACCGTATTTCTATTAAAATGTTAAAAAAAGCTTAAATTTTCAAATAAAAAGCAAATACTGTTGTGCACATGCACACTTCAGACAAACCTGATCTCTTCTGAAACACGAGTTTTCTTGTATCATGCATTCTATTGTAACACTGTAAAAATTAATTTGTTGAGATATTTGATCCCATGGAACTATCTGCACATTAAATCTCAGCTTTAAAAGACCCATACTTTTCCATTCACTGTGTCAACGCTTGATAAACTTACAAGTCCCCTACCAGTTGGGCAGTCTTTTCCTAGAAAAACTCATTTTTATGTTTCTCTTAACAAAAGGCGCGCTTATTCTTCTCCCCCTCAATGCTTTTTCTGACCAGCTCTTTTGTCATCAATAGTCACTGGTGTGCTACTAACTGCCGTTAGATGAGGCACTGTTAAGCAAGGTGTTCCCAACTTCTGTAATACCACATCACTAACAGTTTCATCCCCCGCACAAGATCTCAACTAGGGGAATTTGGTAAAGCAACCTTCCTTACCTGCTCTTAGGATTTTTTGAGACAGTACGATGCAGTACAAAGTTACAACTTTTAGATCAGTGTTGGCGATCCTAAATTTAACCTGATCTTTACCATAGATAACTATATTTGAAGCTCCCAATAACTGTGTTGCATTAAGAGAGGGAAACCAAACCTCACACTTTTTAACATTGCAATTCAGTCTGCATTTAACTGGGGCAAATACATTACACTATTCTGACATTAAGTGGCAAAAAGCGATTTGCCAAACACGACCAGAACAAATCGGACCCTCAAGACAGGCTGATAAAAGCAGCAACAGGAGCTTGTATATAGCTGTTCCAAACCGTTCTGCAAACCTAACTGGAACTGCTCTTGCCAGGAGCGGCACGAGCGCGTTGCGCTGGAAAGGCGGTGAAGCGCTGAATAAGCGGCGCTAAGGACTCCTTCCTGCTGCGCCATCAAGGGTCTCGCTTACTCACCCAACCCACGGGCAAGGAGGCTGCCGTCAGACCTGCCGGGGCACTGCTCCGCCCGCCCTGCGCCCCGCAGCCCTATGGCAGCCCAGTCTCTCACTTAGGGGTTTCCCGTCGCCAACACACCGAAGCCAGCAGGCCGGCCGCACAGCTCTTCCCAGCGCCGGGAGGAGCGGCAGGCCGCTGGCAGGGAAGCGGGGCAGGCCGTTCCTCACCCAAGTAGCCCGTGATGATCGTCACGGGGATCTTCCTGCTGGGGCTGGACTCGGTCTCCTCTGCGCCGCCGGCGTCTATCGGGACCAGGTCGGGGCAGTCTTCGTCCTCCATGGGAGCGCGGGTCCTGCAACTCGGCACAGCCTAGCC